AAGGGCTCAAGTAGAAAGCAAATGTTTTGAGAATGATGATGGCAACATATGTACAAATGTGCTTGACACAATGGATGGGTGTATGGATTGTGAAAAGAGTTGTATGAGCCTCCAATAAAATGATTTAAAATTTTTTTAAATTAAATATGCAAATGAAAAAAAGAAAAGCATTCCCAGCATCACATGCTGAGGTCACGTATTTAAGCACCACACTAGCACTTTGTCGACCACTAAGAGCAAATGACTGGATGGGGCCAAAGATGGACAGTTTCTCGATGGTTGACTGAAGATCCTCCCGGCTTTTCTTCAGCCAGCTAACAAAGAAGCAACATGAAAGCTGTGTATTCCTCGAAAATAAACTCAAATCTTGATGTAATTGTTTTTCACCATTGAATTAAGACACATGAAGAAAGAAAAATAAATTTTAATGAAAATGAGATACTACTCCATCCCAGCATGGGTAGGAGGGTTAAAAGAAGAAAGAAAGCAAACAAATGTCACAAAGGGGGAGTGACTGGTACCCTCGTACATTGGTGATGTGACTATGAAACTGAAAAGCCACTATGAAATTCAGCACAGTGCTTCCTCAAATATTGGGAATCAAATAACATGTGACCCAGAAAATCCTCAATTTGGTATATAGCCTGAAGAAATTAGAGCCATAATGCAAACAGAGATATACATGCCCGTGTTCCTCAGCACTACTCACAATAGCAAAAAGATGGACACCACCCAAATGCCCATCCGTGGAAGGATGGGTCAATAAACTTTGATTCATACACACAACAGAATTCTGTAAAACATTAGAGAATGATGGTGAATCTATATATGCTCTCATGACAGGAATGAAACTGAAGGACACTATGCTGAGTGACATTAGTCAAACAAAAAAGGAAAGTGTTGTATGAGACCACTGTTACTATTTTTTAATGAAGAAAATCACACGTGCACACACTCACACACACACACAAAGACTGAGGGTGATCAGGGGCAGGAGGGCAAAGAAAGGAAAAGTCAGAGGCGAGAGAAGACAGGTATAACTTGGGTTCAGAGGAAAATAATATCCAAAAGAGGGAGAGGGGGTTGAAAATGATGCCAACAGGGCAGGACAAAGGTAGGTATCGTCAGTTGTTGGTATGAAACGGATGCTCTGCTCTGTAAACCTTCACCTAATTCACAATCAAAATAATTTTTTTTAAGATTCAGGAAGCATTACCTGGAAAAAAGTCATTAACTAGATTTTTCCTAAATAGAAAGAATATGAAAACTATTAAGAATGAACTTAATTCTCAGTGCCAGTTTTAATAGGAATATGCACCAGCTATGAGATTGATCGTTTGCTATGATCTTGGATTAAAATGAAGACAGGGGACCACATTTGCTAGTCTTCTGAAGCAGCTGACATCCTAACTAAAAAGAAGACAAGCAGGGCCTTAACTTTCTGTCTCAAATGTACATTTCTACATGTGCACAGGCTCAGAGCTCAGTCACTACCACAAAGAGAAAAACAGACAGGCTGAATTTTGCACACACAAACACACACACACACACACACAACAACAACAACAACAACAACAAAAATCAAATGATTAATTTTAGAGTACTAATGTGAAATCATTGGTAGTATCCTATTTAGTTATGTCATACAACTCTCAGTGAACTTTGATATTTACTGAAATACTAACCCAGCTTCCCGTTAGCACACTGAAATTAGAAGTCATGCTCATTCCTGCTCATGAAAGTGGGATTTAAATCAACAGCGGCATTGCTGGAACATTTTTGGTGGGATACAACTGAACTGATCCGCTATGCTGCTCCTCATCCATGTCATGCTAATCTTATGGGTTGCCACTGTTGAGGGACAAGGTAAGTTGAAGAGCAATCTGAATAGTTACTTTCTTTTCAAATGTTTGTGGTGATTTTTTGTTCTTTTATGTACTTTTTATTTTATTTGTTTTTAAATGAGTAAACGAGAACATTTTAAATGGCAATTTTAACTATCTAATAAGGAGATAATGGGCTAAAATGGATTCATTTTGTTCTATAAGTTGCAAAGTGTAGTTATTGGCCATGAAATACACAATTGCGAGAGGAATTAAATAAAGATCTGAACATAGTGAAAAATAAAAGTAACAGAGGAAAGTACCAATTCAATTATGCCTAAACTCTGCCATGCCATTGACCAGAAAAACAAAAAGTCCCAAGAATGCAAAGCTTCCTAAAGTTTGGAGAATTTTTGGTGAAATACCTGAGGCTGTGGCCTTAGTCCCCTTTCAGGTCTAGAAGTGATCTCAGTTTTCAGACAAACAAGGAGTCTCAGCAGAGCAACAACACAAGTGAGGTGCACATCCCTTAGACTACATCAACCATGTGAGATCAAGAGCACAGCACTTACCAAAGTCAGAAGATTACGAAAGAAACGGACGGAAACAGGTAACACAGGAAGACGTGAGATAAGCGATGTTACGTCGAAGGGATTGTAGTGAATGAAATGAAATGAAATCTGTAGGAAAGACTGAATGAAAAATGGATGATTGTCCTGAAAACTTTAACCCAATTTAAAATAAAACATTCCATTTTGTTTAATGTTTGGAGATTTAATTTCCATATATTTGTTAATTTAAGATTTTAAACATGATCAAAATCAAGAATTTCTGTTTTAATATAACTGTTATTTAGCCATTGGGTATCTCTTTTAATAAAACAGTAGAATTTGTTTTTATCTCTAAGCCAGTAAAATACCAGTGGGCTATTTGCTTTTACTGAGCTCTTTAAGAATGTTGAAAGTGAAAGGGCATGGAATATTATTTGTTTCTACCACTGTAAACTGTATCTCGTACTATTTTAAAACTGTCTTATGTTCTTTAGTGTTAAAATAAAAACCATCATTTCCAAAGAGTTGCAAATACAACCTTTAAAAGGATACAGGATAGGTGACTAAACTGTGTGTGTATGTGTATGTGTGTGTGTGTGTGTGTACATTCTGACTCACTGCAATTTAAATTTTTAATTTATTTTTTTAGTACTTCTTTTATTTCTAACAGCACAATGTAGTGAGCCCTCAGAAAATTTTAAAACAAAAAAATAGAAAATAAACAGGGTTTTTGTGTTTCCTTGTTTTTAATTGCAGCTTAGGTGGTGGTTTACAATTCAGATCATCACCCCTGTATCCCTCAGTCTAAACCACCAATCAAACCCCCGACAGCCCACTCCTCCCATCCCTATTTCTGATTTCCCCTCTCCCCCCTAGAGCCCACCTTCTCCCTGCACCCAGGACACCATCCTTCGACTGGCCAGCTCATTGCTTCATTGCCCTTCCCTGCCCTTCCCCCTTTGCAAACTCCAAAGTCTCATCTAAATGATATGTCTTTGTCTTTGGCCTGTTGGAAGCTTAACAAATGTTCTCCTAAAATTATATATATTTATAAAGAAGACTATGAAGAATGAATTTAATTCTTAGTGTCAGTTTCACTAGAAATATGTACCAGCTATGAGATTGATCGTTTGCTATGATCTTGGATTAAAATAAAGACAGGGGACCACATTTGCTAGTCTTCTGAAGCAGCTGACATCCTAACTAAAAAGAAGACAAGCAGGGCCTTAACTTTCTGTCTCAAATGTACATTTCTACATGCGGCAGGCTCAGAGCTCAGTCACTACCATAAAGAGAAAAACAGACAGGCTGAATTTTGCTAAAATAACTAACGAAATAAAATGATTAATTGTAGAGTACTAATGTGAAAACACTGGTAGTATACTATTTAGTTACTTCATATTACCCTCAGTGAACTTTGATATTTACGAAGTACTAACCTAGCTTCCCATTAGCACACTGAAATTTGTAGTCATGTTCATTCCTGCTAACGGTAGCGGGATTTTCATCAAATCACCTTCACTGGAACGTTTTTTGGTGATATGCAACTGAACTGAGCCACTGCACTGCTCCTATTCCATGCCATTTTAATCTCATGGGTTTCCATCGTTGAGGAACAGGGTAACTTGAAGACCAGTCTGAGTATTTTCTTTTTTAAAGGTCTATGGTGATTTCTTTGTTCATTTATGTATTTTTTATTCTATTTGTTTTTAAATGAGTAAATAAGGACATTTTAAATGACACTTTTAACTATCTAATATGGAAATAATGGGCTAAAATGGATTTATTTTGTTCTCCAAGTTACAAAGTGTAGTTTATGGCCAAGAAATACACAATTGTGAGAAGAATTAAATCGTTAAAGATATGAAAGTAGTGAAAAAATGAAAGTAACAAAGGAAAGTACCAATTCAATTAAGCCTAAACTCTGCCTTGCCACCCGCCGGGGAAAACAAAAAATCCTAGAACACAAAGCCTTCCTAATGTATGGAGGGTAGCAAGTAAGGAGAGATGATTCCAATTAAAAAGTTCCAACCAAGACAGATAAAGTCAGAGCACAAAGACATTCTACTCCTATCCTTTGATTAGTTAAGCCAAATATGTTGTTGTTGGGTGCCATGGGATCGGGTCCAGCCCATAATGTCTCTGTGCACAACTCAATGACACACTATCCAGTCCTGTGCCATTGTCTCAAGTTTTCATACAATTAAGCACATTGGTGTAGCGGCTGTGTTGAGGGTCTTCCTCTTTTTGCTACCCCTCTGCTGTACCAAGTCCGATGTCCTAATTATCAAGAGACTGTTCTCTCTTGACCACGTGTCCAAAGTGCATAAGACCAGTCTTTTCAGCCTTCCCTCTAAGGATCACTCTGGCCAAACATATTCCAAAACAGATTTGTTAGTCCTTTTGGCAGCCCGTGGTACTTTCAATATTCTTTGCGAGTGTCATAATTCAAATGCATTGATTCTTTGGTCTTCTATATGCAGTGCATATGAGATTTTACATGCATATTAAGTGATTTAACGTACCGTGGCTTGGGTCAGGAGCAACTTAGTCCTTCAAGTAATGTCTTTACTTTTCGACACTCTGAAGTCATATCGTGTAACAGATGTACTTAGCACAATGCATCTTTTGATCTCTTAACTGCCTCTTCCAGGAGCAATCCTTGTGGATACAAGCAAGGCAAAATCTTTGACACTTTCAACCTTCTCTCCATTTGTCATTACTGGTCACTTATTGGTCTAGTTGGGAGGCTGTGGGTCTTCTTTACATGAATTTGTAATCCACGCTGAAGGCTACAATCCTTGATCTTCAGCAGCAAGTGCTTCAAATTCTTCTCAGTCTCAGCCAGCAAAGTTGTATCACCTGCATATTTCAGGTTGTGAAATCCTCCTTCCAGTCCTGATGCCACATTCTTATTCATATAAGCCAGTTTCGCTGATTTGCTCAGCATACAGATGAAATAAGTACGGTGAGAGGATACAACCCTGACACACACCTGTCCTGATTTTAAACCGTGCAGTAACCCCTTGTTCTGTTGGCACAACTGCCTCTGGATTAATATAAAAGTTGTACGTCAGCATGAAAAAGCGTTTTGGACCTCTGTTTCTTCTCAAGGATATACATAATTTATTATGGTCCACACAGTTGGATGCCTTAGCTTAGACAATAAAACACAAGTGAACATTTTTCTGGTATTCTTTGCTTGCAGCCAACATCCATCTGATGTCAGCAATGATATCCTTTGCTCCATATACTCTTCGGAATCTTGACTGAACCTCTGGCAGCTCCCTTTCAATGTACTGCTATAATATACAACTGTTTTTTGGATGCTGTTCAGAAAATTGTCACTTGTATGTGAAAACCTTATACGTAGCTTTGAAACAGTGTCAGAATTCAAAGATACCTATTAATAAGATCCATGGCTGGAAAAGGGAATGATATCAGTGCCTAAATTCTAAACACCTTAATTACAGGAAAAAATGTACCATAGTGGTAGGTCAAAACCATTTACAAGGCCACTACAAGGGATGAGCCTCAGGTGACTCCACAATACACATTGGCTTGAAATGACAATAAATCAAAAACCTAATGGTGAGCATTGTGAAGGGGATTTTAGAAACTGTACAAAGGCTAAAATACAATGTCTTATAATATGATCTCCCTATGGACTGAATGTAACTTTATTCTAAACTTTTCATATTCTCTGATTTCTATTAGATTGAGGTCTCTATTGGTTTTTATATAACCATTGTTAATGGATCCTTGTTGGGTGTCTGACCTAGTCTCATATAGTTATCAATTTATGGTAACTGGGATTGATATAAATATAAAGCTAGTGATGGGATTGATGATAACCTGGGGACATGGAGAGAGAGGGAGGGGAACATTTTCAGTGGACATCAATGATTTTGACAATAATTGAGCAATACTTCTTGATATCATTGAACCATTGAATTGTATGGCATGTTAATTATGTCTGTGTTAGGCTGGGTAGACTAGAGAAACAAATCCATAGAGACACTCTAGTGTATAAGAAAGAGGTTTATATACAAGATCAATTAAATATTGAGAAAACATACCAGCCTAGTCTAGATTAAGTCCATAAAGTCTGATATTAGCCTATATGTCTGATACCAATCTAAAAAGTCCTCTTCAGATTCATGAAATGCATGCAATGATGCCAAGTGCAGGAAGATCACAGGCCAGTGGATGGGAAGTCTTGTGGATCCAGTGGTGATGGAAGTATCTTAGCACTGACAGGGATTTCAACATGGTTCCTTCAGCATTGGGGCTCTGACTGCCATCAGCTTCTCTCCATGTGTCTTCTCAACAGTGATGTCTCGTACGTAGTCAGCTTGTCAGTAGAGCGTATCCAAGGGAGTGAGCCAAGAGAGAGCCCCCACCTCCAAGAAAAAATAACAGAGTTCCTTAGGAGAAGGCCATGCCCACACAGAGGCCTCATTGGTTATGACCTTATGGACAGCCTAGACTCCACCACTTCACTCTTAATCCTCAAATTGACACCAGATTGTGTAACTACCATAAGGTCTATTTTAGGAAAAATCACAAGGAGGATTAGTTAGGGATGGGTAAGGGGCTTTTATTGAATAACTAAATATAAAAGCATATCATTATTCACTTCAGGAATTCATGAAAGATAATCATACCTGTTCTTTAGGTAAAATTATAAAATATCACTGGACGATGTTTTAAACAGATGTCTCAGAAATTTATGAAAACTACCACAGTACCAGAATCTCAATTTCCAGAGATAGCTTGCCAAATAAAACTCCTTGAAGTTGTTTGGAAATTTTTAGTTAAGTCCAGATCCAAAACTCTTTTAAACAATTCTCTTAACGGAACTCTTGCTGGGAAAATGTTTCTTGAACCCACTTTATACAAAAGAAAGCTGTGGATAATTTGCTCTGTTTTGTTTTTAGTTTGTGTGGCTTTCTAAGAGTTAATGTTCTGTGTGAAATTGGCTGGGCCAGCAGTGGACAGAGCTCACTAGTGCTTAACTCAGCAACCAAGCCCACCTGGATTCCCAGCCAGACAGGCAAGGAAAAGAACGACGTTCATTCAATTAGTCCATTTGGCTCAAAGGCTTTATGAATTTTCCCTTTATATCACACAGTGAGGACTGTCTTCACAGCACACTCACTGAAAAACTGTATTTACAGGTGTATTATGTTTCTTTTCCCCCTACACTTTGGTGTGGATTATGTGGTATAATCATCTGCTAGAGACATTATTAAAAAGGGAATTCTAAATGGGACTGGAGGGTGGGACAAAGAAGATACTCATTAAAGTGAAGAAGAAAAATATGTAGCAACTTGGCTACCACTAACCCAGAAAGTTATATTCAAGCTGCAAACTGGCCTCTTTAGAAAATTTCTTTCCATAAGTTAGCTAGGTATTAAATGGCCCTTAAGTTTTCACTGCACTTAGGTGAGACTGCCTCTAAGGCAAACACAAGCCACTACGATAATATTTTGGGGTACAACTCTACATGTTTTTGGCAACAAAATATTGGTCAAAAATATCTTATGCTTCATGCAACAGCAAAGAGAGTGTAAAAGAGAAAAAGCCTCCAACCATGTCTCACTGCAGCCTATGCTGTTCCAGGAGGAAATCAGACATGTAACCAAGGAGATCGATGCAAGGCTAGAGATAGGACTTTTACTCAGAACATTCTATGAAAACTGAGAAGAAACACAAAATCATTTTTACCATTGAATGGGTTCTTGGATAAAAAAGAAAATTGACATTTATAGCTAGCACCTTGATTGATAGGTACAGTGAATGTTTGATTAACATTGTAGAATGGGTTTGGACTGATGAGTAAAATGGAGCTACTTGGAGGATGGGAGAAAAGTTATTCTGGGCATAAGAAATCCACAGGCACTAATGTGTGGAAATCAAGAACTGTAATTTGATTGGAGAAAAAGACTCATTTGAAAAAGACTCATGGGGGAGAGTAAAAGGAAATAGAGGAAAGAGCAGTCATCTAGCTCAGACGCAACAAAGCCCACATGGAAGAAGCACATCAGCCTGCATCATGATGAGGTACTGAAGGGATCAATTATCAGGCCTCAAAGAACAAAAAAAAATCATATCATTGTGTGCTCACCGCCCTGATACAATCGCTGAAGACAAATGGGTGCATAAGCAAATGTGGTGAAGAAAGCTGATGCTGCCCAGCTATCAAAAGATATAGCCTTTGGGGTCTTAAAGGCTTGAAGGTAAACAAGCAGCAATCTAGCTCAGAAGCAACAAAGCCCACACGGAAGAAGCACACCAGCCTGTGCAATCACGAGGTGTCGAAGAGACCAGCTATCAGGTATCAAAGAACAAAAAATCATATCATTGTGAATGAGGGGGAGTGTGGTGTGGAGACCTAAATCCCATCTGTAGGCAATTGGACATCTCCTTACAGAAGGGTAGCAGGGAGGAGACGAGCCAGTCATGGTACAATGTAGCAACAATGAAACATACAACTTTCCCCTAGTTCCTAAATGTTTCCTCCCCTCCACTCTCCCCCCACTATCATGATCCCAATTCTACCTTACAAATCTGGCTAGACCAGAGGATGTACACTGGTTCCTATATAGATAGGAACTGGAAACACAGGGAATCCAGGGTGAATGATCCCTTCAGGACCAGTGGTGAGTTTGGCGATACTGGGAGGGTAGAGGGAGGATGAGGTGGAAGGAGGGAACTGATTACAAGGATCTACATATAACCTCCTCCCTGGGGTACGGACAACAGAAAAGTGAGTGAAGGAAGACATCAGACGGTAAGATATGACAAAATAATAATTTATAAATTATCAAGGGTTCATGAGGGAGGGGGAACAGGGAGGGAGGGGGAAAATGAGGAGCTGATGCCAGGGGTTTAAGTGGAGAGGAAATGTTTTCAGAATGATGAGGGCAATGAATGTTCAAATGTGCTTTACACAATTGATGTGTGTGTGGATAGTGACAAGAGTTGTATGAGCACATAATAAAATGATTTTTTTTTAAAGGATTTTAAGAAAAAAAAAGGCTCATGGGAGGAAACACTGTCAGTGCCCAATCGATTATTTTTTGCTACTCTCCTATACAAAACTATCTGGTGTCTAACTTTAAATGGTTCAAAAAACTACAAGGTTTGTACAAGGTTAAATGCCATAAGAATTAATTAGTTTCAAATATTGTGCAGCAGTTAACATTACCAGTTTATAAATTGGAAAAAGCATGGGAAATTCCTCTTGGTAACTGATTTTTGACCAGAATTTCTGCAAATCCATTTGGTTGTTTTTCAAGTGGGGAGAGAAGTAAAGAAATTCTTTAATAGCAGTACTATACTGAAGAAATAATTACCTAGATAAAATTTCCAGAATTCCTTGGCAATGTACTCTTAAATTACTCATACTCTTAATTAGAGCTCATTCTTTGTTCCTTTTTAATTAGTACAGTGGAAGGTATTTAATTTAATAAAAGGAAAGAATCACTACTGAATAATTGAAATATGACAAAATTATTCACTAATAAAACATTATTTAATTCTTCACTTTTGTTGTATTTTCTATAGTGGAGTTTTGTGATTTTCCAAATATAAAGCACGGAATTCTACATGATGAAAACAGACATATACCAGGCTTTCCAGGTGTTCCTGTGGGAAATGTCTTCTATTATTCCTGTGAACATGGTTTTGCATCACCTTCAAAATCCTTTTGGTCTCCAACTACCTGCACTGCGAATGGATGGTTGCCGATGCCTAAGTGCCTCAGTAAGTAAATGTCCTCCCCATTGCCTGGCTGAATCATTCAGTGATTGCACGAGACAATCAAGGTTAATATGAGTTTCAACCATCTGGACAGCAAACAACATTAGACTAGACCACAGGGTCTTGGCAGGCAATTTTAGGGGTGGGGACAAGAGAAGCTGGAAAAGTTCACAGATGTAGTCCTTCTTCTGTGAAGTTCTGTTTTTGAAAGTAAAAGTAAAATATTTGCACTTGCTTCTATTACCCATGGTGCTCTGTATATTGACATTTTTATTTAATGTTGTTAGATGCCATCTAGTTGGCCCGGACCCATACACATAGTCACCTTATGCCTAACAGACAAAATCACTGCCCAGTCCTGCGCCATCCCCACAAATGTTCCTGTGCTTGAGCACATTGTCACAGCCACAGTGTCACTCCATCTCCTGAGGGCCTTCCTGTTTTTCACTGCTCCTCCACTTTACCAAGCAGGATGTCCTTCCCCAGGGACTGGTCTCTCCTAACAATATATCCAAAATATGTAAGAAGAAGTCTTACTAGCCTCGTATCTAAGGAGTGCTATGATTGTACTTCTCCCAAGACAGATCTGTTAGTCCTTTGGGCAGTCCGTGGTATTTTCAATATTCTTCACCAGCATGACCTATCAAATGCATTTTTTCTTCTTTGATCTTCTTTATTCAATGTCCAACTTTCACATGCATATGAGATAACTGAAAATACTAAGGTTTGGGCCAGAAACATCTTCTTCCATAAAGGTGCATCCTTGATTTTCAGTACTCAGAAGAGGTCTTGTGCCACAGTTTTACCTCATGAAATACATCTTTTGGTCTCTTCAGTGCTGCTCCCATAAGCATTGATTGTGGTTTCAAGAAAGACAAAATCCTTGACAGCTTCAAACTTTTCTCCATTTATCCTTAGTCCAGCTGTGAAGATGGGTCTTCGTCACCTAGCCTTACTGAAGGCTACAATCCTTGATGTGCTTCAGCAAGGGTTTCAAGGCCTCCACTTTCAGTAAGCAGGGTCGTGCCATCTGCATACTGCAAATTGTTAATAAGCTTACCTCTGATCGTGATGCCACTTTCTTCTTGATATAAGCCAGCTTCTCTGATTATATATGAGCATTCATGTTTCTTTCCTAACATTTGTCTGGTAGCAGCATGACCATAACTCTCCTTCAAAGTTATTTCACATCACAGCCTGTCTTTAAATTTATCCTGTTGAATATTGCAAGGAGCATGCAAAAGTTATTATTTTCTGTAAGAAAACTTCTTTGGTACTCTAAGTTAATTCTGTCTTAATCTTTCATTAAATACTCAATTGATAACAGAGTTTTAAAATAGAAGAACATTGGAAAACACATGCACATATAAAAGTTAATAATAGTCTTATTCCATTCACAAGGGACACTTATAATTATGCAAGAAATGTACATATTAGTATGTTGTTTTATATATGAGTATGTCATAAACAAGATATTTCTATAAGAATATAGCAAAATAGTAAGGAATATTAATTTCCATATATAATTGGAATCACTAAAAATGAAATGGAAGGCATAAAGATCAATATGCTAGGCATTAATAAGCTGAAATGGACTGATATTGGTCATGTTGAATCACAAAATCACATGGTTTATTATGCTGTGAATGAAACAAGTGGAATGGGATTTCCTTCATTGTCATAAAAGGGTATTTCAAGATCTATCTTGACGGATGGGATAGATAAGGATAGGATAAAGTCTGTCCACACACAAGGAAATACAATCAATACTATTATTAATCTAATTTATGCACCAACCACAAAAGCTAGTAATGAAGAAATTAAAGAATTCTACTAATGTCTTCAGTCACAACTTGATCAAATATGCAATTGCGGTGCATTGATAGTTATAGGTCATTGGAATGCAAAAGTTGAAAATAAAGAGGAAACAACAGTAGTTGGAAAATATGATCTTGGCTATAGAGACTAAGTGGGGATCACCTGATATGATTTTGCAGAACTTTTGACTTCTTCATCACAAATACCTTTTTTCAACAACACTAAAATGTACTATACACATGGACTTCTCTAGATGAATACACAGAAATCAAACTAAATAGTGAGAAGAGGTGATGGAGATGCTGAATATCAGCAGCTAAAAGCAGGCCAGGGGTCCATTTGTTCATATGCAAATGTAGGTTGAAATTGAAGAAATTATATAACAGAACAATGGAATAGTGCATGATTCAAAACCAGGAATGGTGTGTGCCAGGGGTCTATTGTCTCACTATAGCTATTAGAGTGGCTGGACTATGTGAAGAAGAATGCAGCAACAGGTTGAGAGGAAGGCTAACTAACAACCTGAGATATGCAGAGGACACTCTTTTACTTGTGGAGAGTTAGGAGGGTTTGAAGCACTTGCTGATGGAGATTGAAGATTGCAGTCTGTGGTATGTAAAGAAAACCCAAATCCTCACAACTGGACCAATAGGTAGCATCATGATAAGCAGAGAAAAGATGAAAGCTGTAAAGAATATTATCTTACTTGGATCCACAATCAATGCTCATGAAGCAATAATCAAGAAATCAAAAGAAGCATAGCATTGGGTAAATCTGCTGCCCAGGACCTCTTTACAGTGTTGCAAAGCAAAGATGTTTCTTTGAGGACTAAGGTGAGCCTGACCCAAGTCATAGTATTTTTCAACCACCTCATCTGCTTGTGAAAGTTGGACATTGAGTAAGGAAGACTGAAGAGAAATTGAACATTCGAACAGCTGTGGTGGTGAAGAATATTGAAAGTACCATAGACAACCAAAAAAACCAAAGATGTATTTTGGAAGAAGTACAGCATAATTCTCCTGAGAGGAAAAAATGGTGAGATTTCATCTCTCCAACTTTGGACATATTCTCAGGAAACACAACTCCATCATTCTTGATGAAGTGGAGAGGCTGTGAAAAAGAAGACCCTCAGTGAGATGGACGGACACCGGGCAACCACAGTGGATTCAAACACAACAATGGCGGAGAGGGGAATGCAGGACCGGGCAGTGGTCCCTTCTGTTCTGCATGAGTTGGTGCTGACTCGATGGCACTTAACAACAACAGATGGTACAAATGGTCGCCAGTTTGCAGCAGAGTTTCCTTCCAATGACCCTTCATAAATTGGTTCAGATGGAAATGGAATACATTATTATTATTGTTGTTGCCTTTTATTATCTATATCCTTATAAATGTAACATTTATTTTTTCTTTTGGTATTAAAACATTGCGTGTAAACTGATAAATATATTTCCATACATACGGAAAAGCACACAAATATTTAAAATGTATTCCAACAATGAAGAAACCTTGGACATTGTTTACATTATCCTTAGTGGTAATAAAAACTTCCTTTGTGGGATGCTCTGAGTAATCTAGATGATCTCTGGTAATGAGGATAAAGTTTCTAGTGGTAAAACGAATGAGGATTGTGTGTCTGATTGCTTTCTTTTTCCCCCACACTTTTTTGGTAAAATGTCACTGCTTTCTGAATCTGCATGCTGACATTTGCAAAACTATTAGCATGTTAGTTCATGGCTGAGCCGCAGAAGTCCTTGATTGAGTTTAGAGAAAAGCTTTCATTCTTTCACTGTAAAATTCTAAACAAACTTTTGCTTCTTCTTTACCATTATTTCTTCCTTCTTCAGTATTTCTTTCCTCTTCAGAAAACGTCTTAATATATCCTGTGCCTATTTTGAACAGTTAATCATAACATTGAACATCTGTGAGTGAACATCTGAGAATGATAACATACACATGCTTGTGTCCAGTGCATATTATTAAATATCAAATGTATCCCCAAAAGATGGTTGTGTTAGTCTGGGTACTTTAGAGAAACAAATCCACAGAAACTCATGTATAAGAGAGAGTTTAATATAATGCTTAAGTGTGCATCAAGAAAACATCTCAACACAGTGCTGCCCAAGCCCACGAGGCCAACATTAACCCATATGGCCAACACCAATCCACAAAGTCCTCCTCCATCTCACAAAACAGACGCTATGACACTGACTGCAGGAGGAAAGCTGAATCAGTGAAGATGTAAGCATCTCAGCACTGGAAGGGTTCTCCACATGGGTGCTCCAGCACCCAGGGCTGCATCGGGGTAGGTCCATGTGGCTTCTCCTTGGGGATGTTTTGCAGGAAGTGAGCCTTGCTAGCTAAAGCAGGCTAAGGCAGCTGCACCCTGGTCCAACCATCAGAAAGCCAGATATTGGAAACCTAGAAAGGTGAGGCTCACTGAGCCATTTATCTCTCTGCCCTTCAATTAGCCCCACATGTGTTTATAAGCCAGGTTGGCACAATAAACTTTAACTAACTCAATAGTCATAACTGTGGTTCATATAACTCAACCTTCTCCTCAGCTGGGGGCTAACTATGTAAAATCACATATGTAGTTCAATATGTGTACATACATGGTAAAACAAACCAAAAAAAATCCACTGCCATCTATTAGATTTCAACTCACAATAACCCTATAAGGGTTTCAAGACTGTAATCGTTATGGGTGCAGGGAGATACACCTGTATCCCAGGGAGAGGCTGGTGTATTTGAGCTGCCTGCTTTGAGATTAGTAGTCCAACACTTAACCCACATCTCCACCAGGGCTCCTTAGATATGTGGTCCCATTGAAACCCTAAGTTGATTCCACTCATAATGACCCTATATTGGGTTTCTAAAGGTATAAACTTTTACAGGAGTAAGATACATTCATCTCTCTCCTACCTGGTAGGTTTGAACCACAAACTTGGAGATTATCTGCCCACTAAGGCTGTAACTGAAATGATTTTTAAAAATTATTTGTAGACATTGTTTTAAAATTTTCCTTTTCTTTTCAAAATAATGTAAAGTGAAACATCAGTTTCCTATCTTTTTTAACACTCTGCCTTTTAAATCATTTTGTTGTTGTTGTTCTCTTAGGGTTATGTTTCTTTCCTTCTGTGAAAAATGGCCATTCTGCGTCTTCAGGACAAACGCACATGGAAGGTGATACTGTGAAAATAGACTGTGATGCTGGCTACAACCTACCAAATAACGGGGGCACCATCTCATGTACAGAGGATGGCTGGTCCTCTCCTCCCCAGTGCAGTCCCAACAGTAAGTAAACCCACACTTCTCTCAGACCACGCTATGTTTTATCATTTTTAAAAAGAAACAAATTAACTGTCACATTTCGTAGAGGTTTCCCACTTGCTTTCATTGCTTGTTTTGCATTTATATTTTAATTCGAATTTTGTCTGAGAGAGCACACCAATTACGCAGTTTTCCTACCTACGTGAAATAAATATTGGCAGAAGGTAGAAATCTTAGGCAAAAGTACCATGATAATCTCTGAAGATAGAACCTTTATACAAAACTAATACTCGTTTAATTTTTATATTACCATTATCAAGTTACTTGGCAAATTATTATAAAACTACAGATATAAAAATAAATCTAGTATTACTTAATTTTTACAATTTTAATTGGCATATAATTCACATATCATACAATTCATTAGTTCAATCATGTTAAAAATGATTGTAAAATCATCACCACAATCAACGGTAAAACATTTTCTTCTTCCCTATATCCATTGATATTATAACCCTGTTTCCTCCCAACCTCCACTGCGATACCCCCAAGAAACAATTAATCATATTGCTGTCTCTATAAATTTACCTATCCTGGATTTCATAGGCAAAAATAGGAAAGGATTGTTTTTATAAAAGCCCAACAACAACAAAATAAAACCGAGAAAAACCTCAATAAAAAAGAAAGCAGACGATATTAAAAACAAATTTAAAATGAGTCAAATGGAAGATAAAATATAAGGTGTTGAATCTTAACATAATTGTATCTGCTGTAATCCGCTTTCCAGTGCACTGTGCATGATTGTAAGGCTATTTACATCCCTGGTTTATGATCAGAGGGGGTTAGCTGGAGGTTTGTTTAATCTTCATACACTTTTCCTTCACTTGAAACAACACTAAAATGGATCAAAAGCAGTGGTGGGATTCTGCCAGTTTGTACCTGTTCGGCAGAACTGATACCCCATTCTTTGTTAAGTTCAGTGAACCTGTTGTTGAAATAGCACTTGAATCATGGTTCTCTCTGGGGTGGGTGGCTAGGCAGCAACCCAAAATGGAAATAACAAATTTCTGTTGCTTACCCTTTTTTAAGGATAGTTCTACCCTAGCCTTTAGGACCGATATGAGTTCAGTTGGCTTGGTAGCAGTGAGCTTGGTTTGCATTGGCAGTAACTCCAAGGGCTAAGTGACAGTAACACTGTCTATGATGCTTAGGCTTATGTACCAACTGGGCTTGGCCATAATTCTCAGGAGTTTGGCTATGCAAAGATGCAGTCTGACTGTGGGGTAATGGTGTAGTCAGCCTCTTTTTAGTGATTTGTTCTAATCTTGGAATTACAAGAGGTTAAAACATGACAATATTTGAAAAAAAAAGAACAAAACAAATGAATGGAATGCATATCTTAAAACTCCAGTGATTGGACAGTTTATAATTGGTATGGTTCAGTTATTAAATAAATATCCCCTGGTTCTCTTGGACAAATTATCATCTCCTTTTATGACAGTGCAACTGTGGCCTAAGATTTACATTTTATAAACTCAGTAGTAGCCTTGCTCTTTAACACTGTAAGAGGTCTTGTGTAACTGATGTGCCCAGTGCAATGCATCATTTGATTTCTTGACCACTGCTTCTGTGAGCATTGAATGTGGATCCAAGCTAGACAAACTGACAACGTCCAACTTTTTCCCATTTATCATGATGTTACCTGTTGGTCCACTTATGAAGATTTGAGTTTTCTTTACATTGAGTTGTAGTCCAAACACAAGTCTGTATGTAGTCTTTGATCTTCACCAGCAAGTGTTTTAAGTCTTCCTCACTTTCAGCAACAAGGTTGTGTCATCTGAATTTCACTGGTTGTTAATAAAACTTCCTCCAATCCTGGTGCCTCATTCTTCTCTATTCAATCCAAGTTCTCTGATGACTGGCCTTCTAGCTCCAAATCTTTGCACCCCCAATATAATACTTTGCCTTCTCAAGCTGCCATTTGAATTTTTCTTTTCAACTATTTTACATCATTTCTTTCCTTTTCTATAGCTACTCTATGTTCAAAAGCAAGTTTCAGAGTTTCTTCTGACATCTACTTTGAAGGGATTTTTCTTCTTTGTCTTTTTAATGACTTTTTGCTTTCTTAATATGACGTTCTTGATGTTATCCCACAGCTCTTCAGCTCTTCTGTAATTTGTGTTCAAGGCATCATATCTGTCCTTGAGATGTTCTTAAAACCCAGGTGGAATATATTCAATGTTATATTATGGCTTTTCTGAACTTGTTTTAATTTTTGCAACTTCAACCTGAGCTTACATATGAGAAACTGATGATCTGTTCCTCAGTTGGTCTGGAAGTTCCACTAAGGAACTTATGTATGATCCTGTTGGTATGGTATGTATACCATTGGTTCGTATACCATGTACTCTGTTGGTATGGTTGGTATACCATTGGCACAGATTCATGCATCAAAGCAATGCTCAAACCACCATATTAAGACCCGCATTAGGTGAGTGTTGGTGTGTTAATAGTTTTGTTCTTGTTGCTGTTTGGGGTACCATCAAGTTGGTCCCTACTCATAGCAACCCCTTGCACAATAGAACAAAGCAGTGTCTGGTCATGTTTCATCCTCAAGACTGTTGTGATGGAGCCCTTTGTTTCAGCCACTGTCTCGCTTCATCTTATTGAGGAAAACCTTCTTTTCTGATGACCCTTTTCCTTATCAGGCATGATTTCCTCCTCTAAGAACTGATTCCTCATCACAGTATTGCCAAGGAGGTGAGATGAAGTCTCACCATTTCTGCTTCCAGGGAGCATTCTAGCGTTACTTCCTTCAAGACAGATAGTTATTTCTTTGGAATTCCATTCATCTCTCACCGTTATTCACCCACACCATAATCCAACTGCATCGATCCTTGTCCTGTTATCTTCAGTCCCTGTTCAGCTTTCACATACACAGGAAGTGATTGAGAAAACCACCGCTTGAGTCAGGTGCACCTTAGTCATTTAAGTGACATCTTTATCATTTTACAGAGATCTGTGTAGCAGATTTTCCCAAGGCGCTGTGTTGATTGATTTCTTCACTCCTGCTTCCATGAGAACTGATTGCAGATAGAATAAAATCCTTGAAAATTTCAATCTCAATTTATCATAATATTTTTATTGATATAGTTGTTAGTTTTTTGTTTTGTTTACGTTGCATTGAAATCCACACTGAAGGATACAGTCTTGATTGCCAATGACTGCTTCAAGTCCTCTTGACTTTCAGCAAGCAAAGCTGTGTCCACTGCCTATCACTGGTTGAGGATGAGCCTTCCTCCAATTCTAATGCTGAGTGAGAAGTAGGAAGCAGTCATTTCAAAGTGCAACTGTTCAGAAGAACAGTGTCTATTAAATGAAGAAGGCTGGATCCAGGTAATCCTGGAAAGTCCATTAGTTTCAGGCCAACTGTACATCATCACTGATTTTAAGAAAGATTACCTCTGTGTCCATGAATAAATGAGTTCACCTATTCTAGAAAAGACTGTAGAAAGTGTCACGGACACTTCTAGAAGAAGAAACAATTCAGCCTTGACAGCAATACAGCCAGAACACTTTAACAAGTAAAGATGGCAAAACTTTTCTTCACATGCTTTAGATCTGTTATCAGTAAAGACAAGTTCTTGGAAAATGACATCATACTTGGTAAAGCTGAATGTCAGAGGAACTAGGAAGATCTTACAGGAGCTGAAATGGCTGCACCAATAGGCACAAGTATAAGAACTACTGTGAAGATGGTAGTGGAGGAGGTGGTAGTTCCTTCCATTTTACAGAGATTCACGATGAAAGGAAACTGAGTCAAGGATGCCTGCAACAGCAATGCTTTCTAGCTATGATTATTCTTCTGAAAAATGAAGATATTAAGCTAATAGGTTCATTACATGTACTTACCACTAGTTAACTATGATTCAAATCTCAAAGAAGCTTATTTAGATCCTTAAATTGCTTCTTGAGAACCCACATGGCATAATGGGCTACCCATTTGGTTACTAACTACAAAGTCAGCAGTTCAAAACCACCCGGTGCTCCGCAGGAGAAAGATAATGCTTCCTGCTCCATCAGACTCAGTCTCAGACACCCACTGGAGCAGTTCGACTGCATCCCATGCAGTCACTATGCACCAGAATTGACTCAACGGCATGGAGGGCTGCTTTTTAAATTATTTCTACATGTCGATAGAGGCTCTCATTTTGTCTGCTGTAATAAATGTATTTAAGAATATTTAGTGAAAAGTGGTCCATAAATAGGATGACTAGAATAAGCACTATATCATAACTTTTTTCTGCTTTTAAAAATTATCACAACCCATTTCCTTTGATCATCGTTGCACAATAATAATTTATATATCAATGTATCACTACCATAAAGTTGGTGCTGATGCATGGTGACTCTGTAAGACAAGGTAGAATTCTCCCTGTGCGTTCCCAAGACTGTAACTCTTTATGGAGTAAAGAGCCCCATGTTTCCTTTATAGATAGCATAAAATAGTCTACCAGCTATAAATACTATTCCTTTACCTCATTTATTAAATATTAGAATAGCAGTGAACTAACTCTACCTGGAATACCTTTCATTATGAAAATTTACAAAATAATTTCCCATTTGCCTTTTTAAAAATATCTGTAACATAAAACATATTTTCAATAGTTTCCAAACTGAAAGAAATATACATTTCTCATATTTCAGTGGAAAACTTTATAAATTTCAGGGTTAAAAATCATTTATGATGTATGCATTGAATATTCAAGGAATTTGGCTATGTTGGTTATATATTTATATACTATAATCAAAGGAATGGAATAGTGGAAGGAAAACTGCAGAGCAGAACTGTATCCCACAATGGCACGTTAAGAAATGGTGCCATGATCAGCTGAAAACAGGTGCAGAGCTGCCAGACAGCACGTGATGGAGAACGACTGAAGGACAAGGGCATCAACAGATGATCTACCCTCCTGGGTGTCCAGTTTCTGTCTCTGAACTAAGTATGGAAATAAGCAGAGCGTTTAGTTCACTTTTTTTTGTTTGCGTTGGTTTGTCTCCCGCCTTCCCCACTAAATACAATTGAAAGTTCACAGTTTGTTTCCAACACTTGATAGTTGTGAAATGATCCAAAGTGGAGAGCCGCACAGAGCATGCTGAGAACCTCAGCCAAGATGACATCGCTCCCCAGGAAATACTTTCCCAGAACCCCTTGCGACCCTAATGGAAGTTCAGATAAACTTTCCAGAGAGAATCTCTTTTAAAATGCTTGACACAGCTGCTGAGGGGAAGAAAGCGCATTCTGGCCATACTGGCGGGGTGAGGCTTTCTTCCTCCAGGAGCGTCTAACAAAAATCCCGTGTGTTGCCTGCCCTATGTCTTCCAAAGTCAATCTCTCTCTTGATAAGACAAAAACCCAATTCCAGTAAAAATGGCCTTTCATTTGTTCCCAAATATACATAGTAGATTTAGGCAAAGAATACATCTGCATGCTACACTTGATTACATGTTTTATAGTTATTTTGAATTGTCATTTATCACCTTTCAGGTTTGTGTACACAAACTTAAATAAGAAAAATGTGGTAAAGCAGTAAGATTTCAGAAGGAAATGCTGCCCATTCTTTACCAGCTTCAGAAATCTGACCTATGATACAAATCTTTTTCAGCATTGAGTTCTATGTATGGCTGCTTTAAAATGTGACCACAAGTTTGGCCTACAACAACAAATTTTTTAATAAATGAATAATGAATAATTTTATTGGGGTGTCTCACAGCTCTTATAATAATACATACATCAATTGTATCCAGCACATTTGTACATATGTTGCCTTCATCATTTTCAAAATATTTTCTTTCGGCTTGAACTCTTGGTATCAGCTCCTCTTTTTAAAAAATAATTAGTAATAATATTTTATCGTGTTTTAAATGGAAGTTTACAAAGTAAATTAGGTTCTCATTTGACACACTCTACACACCTTGTTCAGTGACATTAGTTACACTTTCCACAATATGTCAACATTCGATGATTTGCATTCTAGTTGTTCCATTTCCAGTATTCTAGTTTCCCAGTTCCTTTGTCAGCCCATCTTTGCTTTTTAGTAATGGTTGGCATTTTGGTCTCATGTAGATGGCTTTATAATAATGATATAAATAGTGATTTCCTACACTCTTCTTCCCATTTTTTTTCTAATCTTGATTCTCCTAGGATTTGTGAACTAGTACATTATTGCTATTTCCTTTAAAAGTCCAGATTAACCCATCTCCATCTGAAGAGTAAAAACTCAGCTCACAATGCCTGCAGCAGGTGGGGAAATCACAGCACCAAGCTAAAAGAAAATCTGAGAACTATATAGCTTATTTTATGGACTGGAGTATTTCAGAAGACCCTTTCCCCTGACCCAGACTATACAGCACCCCAAAACCCATTGCTGAAGGAAAAGATAACAGACACTATCCAGTCTGTCTTACTAGGCATTCATCTCACTCAGACTCACTACTACCGAGTTGATTGAGACTCACAGTGACTCAATGCGACACTGTAGAATTGTTCCTGTGGGCTTCTGAAATTATAGATCTTTAAGGAAATAAAATGCCTCTACCTTCTCCCATGGAGGTCCTGGTGGTTTTGAACTGCTAAACCTGCAGTTAGCAGCCCAACACATAACCTATTGCTCAATAAGATTCTAAGTTCTCCCTCTGTCCCTGCTTATAAACTGGCATACTTGGGATAGGCTTCCAAACCACTCTCATTGAGTGAACAATGGAGCCCTGTACTCAGGGGTACTATGCTTTATTTTGTGCGCCAATCCGTTCTTGGACTACAAGGTGATCTGAGAGGATATTTTCAGTTCAAGTTTTAAAGAGTATCTCCGGTCAGTAGTCTCAAGGTACCTTCTAACCAATTGGTGCAGGCAGTGTGGAATTTTAAAGAATTTTAGTTAAGATCTGAATCTTTTTTCCTATACTAATCATGCCCATCTTTTGTGGCCCCGATCACAGCAGTTAGCATAGCATCTTATTCCTCTGGTTCTCGAGATAGATGGGGTTGTAGTTCCTCTAGGCTATTATTCAAGTATATTAGTTTCTTCTCTGTCATTTTGGTTTCCTTCTTTTTGTTTTTCTCCTAATGAGTAGAGATCCTCACTAGATGCATACCCCATGGCCGTTCATAAGCTGTGAGACACCGGGGCTTCTGAAGAAAGAACATTGTCAACTACGCTGGAGACTAACATGACTTAGAAGTTAGACATAGTGTACAGCTCCAGTGGCATTTAAAAATCACACTCCTGGTGTCATTTACTTCATTCCATGGGAGTAAATTGCAGAAGGCTTCCTTTCATCTTCCCAGAGGTCTGTTGACTTTACAGAGTAAAAGTCTCTCTATCTATCTGTCAATCTATCTATTTATCTCTCTCACGCGTGCTCTCTAACATTCTCTCTCTCTCTTAGGTTATTGTGCCGTTGACCTACTTAAGTTTCAAGGTTCATACTTAAGTTTCTCTCCTAAAGGCACTGCATGAGTAAGGTGACATCATGTCTTTACAGTAACTAGTGAATTAGGACCTGATTGGTTAAGCAGAGGGGCTCAGGAAACTGGCACTAATTTTCCTGTGAGTAATAAATTCTATTGTAGATTGAGAAGGTTCATGTTTCCTGACAGGAAATATATATGTGTGTGTGTGTATATATATGCATCCTATCTGATGCCTGCTGTATCATTATTAGTATATACCTTAGATGTGCTGATATCTCATAAATATATGTAGGAGTTGATATATAAGGGAAATATAATCATTTCCTATTAAATCATTAATAGTGCTGTGCTGTGCTCTAAAAGGTTTTTTGTTAATATGTTGTGTCCAGATGAGGTCAATTAAGCCACATGAAACTGTAGTTAAAGTTAATAAGCTTTATTGGGTGGCGGTCAAAGGGCAGCTAGGCACCTAACTCACCCTCGGTCACGAGTGCTCAAAGTGGCATAACAAGGCATGGAGGCAGGTGGCATCACACTGACAGGGGAACTTGGATACAAAGGCAGGTGGTATTATGATATTAGGGAACACGGGACCTTACAAAAATAGAACAGGGGGTCTATATGTATCACCAGAAATTTCCAAAATAAATGGCACTGGCTTAGCAGTTACAGAAAAGAGTGATGACAAAAGGAATTACAATAGTTGCAAAAGGCCACACTTGGGTCAGTATAAAATGGTTACAACATTCAGACTAACTAATACAATACGGTTCCATTGTTAAAATGGCTACATCTACTACATTATGATTAATTGTGGTGGGTGACTACAAATGCATAGTGCTTGTTAAAATTTTTTGTCTTTTTGATATATGTTTGGGGTAATACTATCAATAAAATCTTGGTTTTTAATACATCTTAGAGTCTTGTGATATGCCATTATTTGTGAATGCCAGGAGCAAAGGCAGTAACACACTGTTTAAGCTCAATGACCAGTTGGACTATGAATGCAGTGATGGCTATGAAAGCAGAAATGGAAGCACTTCAGGCTCCATAGTATGTGGTGGAAACGGTTGGTCTGATCTGCCCACATGCTATGGTAAGTTCTTTCTCTTATGGGGAATAAACAATTCCCTATTACTTCTTTTTTGTGATGGTTCTATATAATATTTCATAAGGAACAATAATCAAAAGTCAAGACTTCACCCGATAGCTTTAAGAAGCCAAATTTAAATATCACCATATTAAAGTCATATATAGGTCACACACATCATTATATTTATGGTATAAAGAAATTGAAGGAATTTTCAAGGCATCTTGAATTCAATCTGTCAAGTAATTCAAAACTAGGCATACTACACTAAATCTATGGTTATAACATATCCTATAGCAACTTAAGTTATTCTTCTCCTTGACTATGTTTATCATCTAATTTGACTCTTAATGTCTATCATTTAGTGTAGGGCCATGACTTTAAAAGCGGCAAAATTGCCTTCCATGCAACCATACCATTCTTGAAATATGGCTGTGCCTTTCACTTCATGTCTTTTTGTTTTCTATTGTTACTCTAGCAAAATAACACACACACAATGACCCAAAGCAACACAAAACTATTATTTCACGATGCTGGATGCCTGAGTCCTGAAATTAAGGTGCCAGAGAGCTATATTCTTTCTGAAGACCCTAGGAAGAGTCTCTTTCTCTTACATTTTACAGTTTCTAGAGGCCATCTAGCACAATGTCGTTAATGTCATATGCAAATAAAATGTTGCTGAAGATCATTAAAAAACAATTGCAGCAGTGCATCAGTGGGGATTATCACAAATCAAGCCAAATTCAGAACAAGATGTGGAATGAGGGACACCAGTACTGATGCCAGATGGATCCTGGTGGAAAGTTAAAAATACTAGAAATATTTTCCTTTGCATATTGCCTATGTAACACATATTGCCTTCATAAAACACCATAGATAACACTGCAAAAAATAAGAATTCCAGAGCATGCCACTGTGCTCATGCTGATCCTATGCACAAAGAGGAACTTGTTGGGAAAAGCAAAGGAATGTTGCATGGTTTAAAATCAGAAAAGATGAGGATAATTATACAATGTCTATGTGGAGCAAATCATTCAAGAACAAGGACTATATAAAGAAAAACACAGGACACGAGGATTTGAAGAAGGCTCACTTATGACATCCCCCTGTCCATGTACTGGTGTGACCATTTGTAAATAATCTTATCGATATTTTTACTTGGACTTGTCTGTCTGTGGTGGCTTGCTTCTTACTATAATTCTGGAAGCTATGTCATTGGTATCATGTGTCATCAAGGTCACCAAAGGTGAACCGTTTCAGTGGAGCTTCCAGACTAAAGCTACAAAGAAGGAATAGGCAGTAGCCTTCCGAGAGATTCACCACAGGAAGTCTTCTAGATACCAGAAGAACATTGTCAAAGTCAGTACAGAAGATGAACCCTCAGGTTGGAGCACAGCCAAGACAGGATCGGACAAGAGTAGCCTACTCATAATAGAGTCAACCGTGCTGATGGTGCCCGGCTATCAAAAAGTATAGCGTCTGGGGTTTTAAAGGCTTGAAGGTAATCAAGCGGCCATGTAGCTCAGAAGCAACAAAGCCCACATGGAAGAAGCACACCAGCCTATGCAACCACGAGTTGTCGAAGGGATCAGGTGTAAGG